GGCCCCATGGGGACAATTTGGTATTTTAATGGCAGGATCTGTTGGGGGCAGCAATCTGTCATCAGCAGACATGAGTATCTGGGGGTGAGGGAAGGTATCTGGTGCACGGCCAAGTCAACAGAAAACTGAGGTGACAGGTGACTGGTGATCTTGGGGCCGGGGTCATGCTTTTGGTGGTCAGTCCATTTCCAGGGACCCAGCCAGTGCTGGAACTGTGTATGTGGGGAAGAGGGGTGCAGTGTAGAGGTTGGAATGAACAGGAGACAGCTGAAGGGAGGGGCGCAGCAAGGACCAAGTGGGAGGTCAAGGCTTAATCTAGGTAGACTGAGTTTAGGTCAGATCTAATGGAGGTGCTGTCCAATAGAAACAGAGTATAGGTCACACATATAATTTTTAAAGAACTCTTAATTGTGAAATAATTATAGATTCACAGAAAGTTGCAAGGGCAGTATAGAGAGGTTCCATGCCCTCTTCCTAATTTCTCCCAATGGTTACACCTGATGTCACTAGGGTCCAATATCAAAACCAGGAAATTGATGTTGTTGCAATATGTGTGTGTGTGTCCATGTCATTTTATCATTGGTGTGGATTCACATCACTACCACTGCCAGCAAGATACAGAACTGTGCCATCACCACCAAGGTCTCTCTGGTGCCCCTCCTTTGTAGTCACCCCACTTCCCTTCCTTCCACCATGCCTAACCCCTGGCAACCATGAATCTACATTCCATCTCTTTAATGTCATCATTTCAAAACTGTTATACAAAGGGGATCATCTGGTATGGCCTTCTTTTGAGATGAGCTTTTTCCACTCAGCATAATGCCCCTGCGATCCATCCAAGTTGGTACGTGTGTCAGTCGCCCATTCCTCTTTATTGCTGAGTACTATTCCATGGTCTGGATATACCACAGTTTGTTTAGTCACTCACCTATTATAGGACCTAGTGGCCAATCTAGTTTTTGACTATTACAAAAAGTAAGAAAGCCTGCTATGAACAACCATGTCCAGGCTTTTGTGTGGATGTGAGTTTTCATTTCTTTGGGATAAATGACCAGGAGTGTGATGGTGGAGTTGTATTGTTGGTATATATGTAGACTTTTTTTTTTAAGAGACTGCCTATTTTCCCGAGTGTCTGTGCCATTGCATACTCCATTGGCAACGTGTGCGAGATCCAGTTGCCCCACAGTGTGGCCAGCGCTCGGTGCTGTCATTGGGTTCATTCGGTCTCTGCTAACAACATACAGGAATGCCTCGTCCTGGGCTTACTTTGCGTTGCCCTAATGGCTTGTGACGTTGAGTGTTTTTCAGGCACTTATTTGCCAACCTTCTATCGTTAGTAAAATGTCTCTTGTTGTCTTTTGCCGATTTTCTAATTGGATTGTTGGATCCTTTCCTCATCATCAATCTTAGGGGAAAAGTATAGTTTTTCACCATTAATTGCAGGATTAGCTATAGGATTTTTGTAGATGCTCTTTATCAAGTTGAAGAAGTTTCTATTCTTAGTTTTCTGAAAGCCTTTGTTACATTATAAGAATTTTATTTATTTATCTTATTTTATTTTATTTTTATTTAATCTTTATTGTATATTTTCATTACCATTTAGCCCCCTTTCACCCCCTCCGCCTAGCAATCACCACATTGTTGGGGAGACAGACAGACAGACACTGATTTGTTTCATTTACTTACATGCTCATTGGCTGAGTCTTGCAGGTGCCCCACCCAAGGATCACACCCACAATCTTGGCACACGGGGACAAGACTTCAACCCACTTCATCCCTGAGCTACGCAGCCAGGGATGAAAAAAAATTTTTTTTTAATCATGAGAGACTATTGAATTTTGTCAAGCACTTTTTCTACATCAATTGATGTGGTCATGTGATTTCTTTTTACTCTTGCCCTGTTAATATGGTGGATTACATTGGTTGATTTTGAAATAACAAGCCAGCCTCGCATCCTCAGAATAATTCCCACTTGGCCATAGTGTATGTTTTTATATATTGATAAATACTCATCGCTGATATTTTGTCGAAGATGTTTGTGCTTATATGTATGTAGGATACTGGTCTTCAGTTTTCTTGTACAGTCTTTGGTTTTGGTGTCAGGGTAAGAGCGATCCCACAGAAAGCATTTGGGAAGTGTCCCTGCTCTGTTTTCTGAAGAGATCATGTAGAATTGGTGTTAATTCTTTTTTGGTAGAATTTGGGAGAATTCTCTAGTGAAACCATCTGGGCCTGTGTATTTTGGGGGGTGGGAGGGAGGATGTTTTAAATTACTGATTCAATTACCTTAATAGTTTCAGCACCACTCAAATGATCTGTTTCCCATTGGGAAAATGGCGATGGTTTGTGTTCATGAAACTGGTCAGTCTCATCTAAGTTGTCGAATGTATGTGTGTAACTGTTACTATTTCTTTATCACCTTTCTGATAATCGCAGGGTCTGTTTTCCCTAACCCTGGAGATCTGCCAGTCCGACAGGTGAAAACTGAGTCTTGGGGATTCCGTTTCCATCCTTTTATACTGATTAGCTGGATCATCTTTCTGTCATCATTTGTACCTTTGCCCTTTCCCCCCTTACCTATGTATCTTTTTTGTATTGACTGGAAAGTATTCTTTATAGATTATGAATACTAACTCTCTTCCCGTCATATATAATACATAATCTTCCCAGTTTGCTTTTTTCTTTTTATTTTTTTACAGTTTCTTTTGATCCCCAAACATGCTCTTAATTTTCATGTAACAAAATCAATATTTTCCTGTAAAGCCTCTGGGATTTCATGCCGTATTAATTAGTACTCAGTCAATTTCAAGAGATAGAACCCAAATCAAACTAGCTTGAACAAAAAAAAAGGAAGGAAGGAAGGAAGGAAAGAAGGAAGGAAGGAAAGAAAAGGAAAGGAAAGGAAAGGAAAAGAAAAAAGAAAAGAAAAGAAAAGAAAAGAAAAGAAAAGAAAAGAAAAAAAGAAAAGAAAAAAGAAAAGAGAAAAGAAAAGAGTGTTGGCTCGTGTACCTGGGGACTGTAGATAGACACTGATCTCTGCACGGCTGAGTCAAGCATCTCAACAGCACATTGTTGGTCCCTGTGTCTCCCCTCTTTTCACCGTCCTGTTTTGCTTACATCTGTGTGGGGTATCATTTTTTACTAAAGAGTATATAGGCTCTGCCATGATAGAAAGGCTGCTGGCAGCCCCAACCTTTCATGCTAATGATTTAGAATCCAAAAATAAGACTCTCAGAACCTGTAAGTTGTATCCCGTGGAAGGACTCAGAATGATCCTGCTTGGGTGACGTGCCCTCTTCCCTCTGTTTCACGGCTTGAGCCAGTCCGTGAAGGTGAGTGATGGGCCACGATTGGCCGCTTCCCCAGTTCTGTGGCTCGTGAGCAGGTGGGTTCCTGCCAGAACCCCGGGCAACAAACAGCTTCCCAGGAGAACGATCGGCAGGGAGCACCAAAGCAGTCCTCTAAATATGTCGCCCTTAGAAAGACCTTCTCTAGTGTAAGATGATTAAAAAATTGTTTGTTCCCTTCCAATAGGTATGATTTCACTATTTTCAATATAGATTTTGCCTCATGTGAGAAAGTGAGGGAGACAAAGAAAGACAGAGACAGGGAAGGGGTGAGAACATGGGGTGAGGTAGGGGTGCTTGGCTATGTGTTTTTACACCTGCAGAGAAGATGACCTTGAAACTTACTGGGTCACCCGTTTCATAGTTTGATCCCTTTTTCTTCCCTTTTCCTTGAGTTTATTCTGCATTAACATGAGTCCTATAAGATGAGGATGGTGGGAAGGGCAAGGACTTATCTAGCACAGGGCTTTTCACAGTGGGCATTAACAAATAACTGATTTAACTTGTCCGAACCCAATACTCATGCTCTCCAGGGGACATCTGGGCACCCAGATATGGTATAGCAATGGGGGTATGGAGAGGGGACCATGAACACCACAGATTCCCAAACTACTTAAAAATGGGGGTAAAGGTAAAACTTGATTTCCCTCCCAGAGCCCTGAAGGGGGTGAGGGGAGGTAGGATAGGAAATGCAGGACACAGGTGGACAGGAGACTGCTACCTGTTTACCACCTGTGTGTACAACCTGGTCACCTGTGGGGGTCAGCACGTGTGGGCACCCAGCCATGGATAGCCTCTTTCCTAAAACATGTTCCCAAGTGTTCATGGCAAGCTTTGTGATTTTATCTCTTTAACATTAGGAGAATCTTTTAAAAATGATTCTCTTGTGCTAAAAAAAAATCTCAGGTTCAAAAATTCCTTCCATTTCACCCACTTTTTTCCCCTCACTGAACTTGCAGGGGGAAAAATTAAGCATTTTAAGTTGAAAAGCAAGTACAGTATGATCCCATTTGTATGAAATAATTTTTCTGACTGTGATCCCATCTATTGATCCTTCCATCTCTTTGTCTGCCAGCTGTCAAGGATGATTATTTCTAGATTGCACTGGGTTTTTATATTTTGCTTTCATCCTTTAAAAAATAATAAGCACTTATCATTTCCACAAAAGCAGTAGACTTATTCCTTTTAAAGAATAAAATGTATGTTAAGAAGTATCCACAGTCTGCTACTTAGAGTGAGAAATATCTTTCTCAATACATGACTAAATATTGTCTATTGGCAATCATCAGTTGAGCATTTGTGGGGAAAGCTACCCAGAGCCTCAGTGGCTCTCAGTCAGAAAGGGAGAAGACAGGTAGAATACAGCGAAAGAGGAGAAAAAAGAAGAGGCGCACACAAGGGAGGCCTCCAGCTCAAGGACAGCCCATGGCTTCAGGGGAGTAGCTCCCCATGTTTCTGGAACAGAAGACCCCTCATTTCCATCACAACTTGGTCGGTGAACACCTTCCATTTGACTGGTGTGAGGCTTCTTTTATATTCCTCCCCATGCCTAGATGAGCGTTGTGCATCCAGCAGGCACTCAATAAGTGCTTAACAGATGAGCAGTTCCCCAGGCGGGTCATTCTCCCTAAACTGCACCTCTTTGTCTTTCAGGCTCACAGGCTTTCAGCTGCCAGCCACCATCGTCAGTGCGGCCACCACCCTCTCTCTGCATCTCGTCAGTGACTACGCAGTCAGCGCGCAGGGCTTCCACGCCACCTATGAAGGTAGGCGCCCCCCTGCCCTGGCCACAGGGGTCTGACCTGGGGCGTTGTACTGGCCACAGGCAGGGCTGTGATGCTCTCGGCTGCAGGGACAGGCTGCTGCAGGTTCAGAGCTGGGGCCCGGCCTGAGCAGGCTGGTTATCGACCAGTAACTCAGTTACTTGTGAATTGCCTGCGATGCATTTCCAGGAAGCTGAGAATTGAAATCAGAGCTCAGCTGCAATAGTTTGTCCTGAGGGCCTGGTAACATCTACTTCTCCGTACCCTTAACTGGGTTTCGTTGTGTTTTTATTTTTCTAATTCTGTTTTCTAGTGGGCTTACTTGTATAAGGTACCTCAGCTTGGTTTTGGAAATAAGAGCAATATAAACCCTAAGTAAAAGAAGTAACATAAGTCACTGAAAAAACTTTCTGCTCACTATAGTGACTGCAAAGAGTCAGTTTTATATCATTCAGAGAAGAACAATTACTACTTTTTCCTTAAGAGTGTGGATTAGGGTTTTTTGTTTTGAGTTACGCAAATGATTTCCACTTCTCTCAGCCTGTTTAAATATGGTGTTAGCATTCAAATTAACACTAATATCTTCGGATTATACACTATTATTATTATTATTAATTTTATTATGTTCAGAAGGTGGTACTTCTGGATCTCTGTCATTTCCCTGGGAAATTTACATCTCATTAATAGGCAATTACGCTGCTCTTGGCTAATACCCACACTGCTATTTTGTGTTGAGATCATTAATAGACATATTTTAAGACTGTTAATGATAATTAATAACAGTAATGACACAATATCCTACTAAAGCATGCCAGTTATTCTAAAGCTTTCTTTCTCTTGCCTCCGAGAACTTAAAAAATAAGTGATGCCGGGACGCTCTCCGTCTGGGGAACACCCCCACACCTTTCCCTCCCCAACCCTCCTCCTGGTGTAAACATTCCTTTCTCTCTCCTAAGCTCCAAGGCCCTTCGGCTGCTGTAACTTGTTTCCTGAGCCTGCGCAGCCTAGCTGGCTCACCTCTACTACCTCTGTAACTTTCTAAATAAACATTCTCTTAAATTTGAGAAAAAAATAAATGACACTTTCTTGAAGAGCATCTATATTCTGTAGCAATATACGACGAGGTCTGTCCGGAAAAAGTCCAGCCATTGTTAATATAATGAGAATGGTTGGTGTGGCATCTGTGTAACCTGGCAGCCAAGGAGAGTGGACTGGAATGTGCATGTGTGAACAATGATGACTTCACTGTGCTAGTCAGTGGGGGTGGTGGATGCTGGTGAGTGAGCATGTGCACTGTGTGGCCGTCACATGCAAAATGACTGAGCAAGTCAAGCAACGAATCTGCATCAAATTTCACATTAAGCTTGAACATTCCTTTGTGGAAACTATTTGGAAGATTCAGAAAGCTTCCAGGGACCATGCAGCGAGTGCAGTGCAAATAAAAGTGTGGCTTCAAAGATGGTTGAGAATCTCTTGAAAGTGATCCATGTTCTGGAAGGCCAGCAACAAGCAGAACACCTGAGAATGCTGAACATGTACAGGTGCAATCAGCAAAAACGTGTGAGGTCTCAAGGTGCCTACTTTGAAGGGGACTGAGGCATCATTGTCTTTTTTTAAAGATTTTATTGACTTATTTTTAGAGAGAGGGGAAGGGAAGGAGAAAGAGAGGGAGAGAAATACTAATGTGTGGTTGCCTCTCATGCGCCCTCCTACTAGGGACCTGACCTGGCCCGCAACCCAGGCATGGGCTCTGACTGGGAATCGAACCACTGACTCTTTGGTTCACAGGCCAGCACTCAATCCACTGAGCTACACCAGCCAGGGCAAGACATCATTGTCTTATGTACAATGTTTCTTGTATCTTGTACCTTCTTCAATAAACGCCTCTCTTTTTTCATAGCGCATGGCTGGATACTTTCCGGACAGACCTAATAGAAAAGGATTACACTTTTGTCTCGTCTTCATTTGCACCAGAAGAGGGCAAAGCCTACCTTCTTGGCAAACCCACCCTCTGCAGTGTGTGGGACACGGCTTGATGCTTTAACCTGGGCAGTGGAAGGACTCTGAGGAGGCCTGAGTTATTTTTAACTAAAGGTTCCTGAGAAGGCTCCAGAGAAAGGCCCCACTGCCTTTCACTGAGGGCTCCTGACATCATCCCAGGCACCTGTAACTGAGGGCTCCTGGAAAAACCTACCTGTCTTTAAAGTGAGGTCTTCTGAGAAAGCCCAATTTCTTTTGCAAAAACAATCCATTGCTCCCAATATCAAGCCTGTGATCTTGGTCCTCCTGGTTACATCTTTCCCCTGAACCTTTGGCCTTGAACCCAAACTAATTCTCTCCAAGGTGGAGCTACCACTTCCTTACTAAGGGAGTCCTCTCCAGAAGCTCCTAACGGCCTGTCTGACCATGAGCAATGGCCCATGCGTCGGCCTTGGGGAGGCTGGCTGTGCTGGGGGGTGGCTGGGACAGTGAGTCAGTGGCACCAGAGTCGGCACCTGCAGAGACCCCGCGTGCTGACACACAGGGGGACGCAGCCGGGCCCTCGTGGTGTCTGCCTTCAGCATTCCTCGTAGGTACTTATCTGAGGTCTGGACTCTGATGAGGCTTAACAAAAATGTGTCCTACCCATCGCCGACCACACTGTGCCCTCTGGGGAACAGTGCCAACACTTCTCTAGCAAGCAGAGCAGATCTGGGGGTATACTCATAGAGCCCTTCTCAGTTGGAGGTTCTAGCCTGCAGTTCATGGGCAGGGTCTACCTTTGGACATCAAAGGTCTACAGACCCCTGGTAAACAGAGACACAATTCCGAAGATATAAGGATGTATGTATTTTTTCCCTAAGAAGGCTCTCGAACAGGGATCAACAAACTAGACCTCCCACTGCCCCCCTCCCCCCACACAGGGCTTCATCCAGCCCCTGGCTCATTTTTGTAAATAAACTTTTATTAGAACACAGACAAGCCCATTTGTTGACATATTGTCTATGACTGTTTGCAACGCACTACAACTTCAGCATTGAGTTATTGCCACAGACACCATATGGCCTGCAGAATCTGAAGTATGTACTCTCTGGCCCTTTACTGACCCCTCATCTGGAGCTGTGTGATGCAACACAGTAGCCATTAACCACACGAGACTAGTTACATTTAAATTAATCGAAGTCAAATAAAATGTAAAATTCTGTTTCTCGGTCATACCAGCTTCATATCTTGTTCAGTAGCTACACGTGGCTGCAGCTACCATATTAGCACAGATGGGGAACGTTTCTGTCATTACAGAACGTTCTCCTGGACAGAGCTGAGCCAGAGCTTCCGCCAGATTCATAAACGCTCTGAGATTCAAACAAGGTTACATAACACTAGGACAAAGTAGAAGCTGATGGTTCCTATCACCTTCCTCCCACCTGCCTGGCCCAGCAGAGGCAGCCCAGCTGTGAGAATATTCAGCGTTCCGCAGCAGGACCCAAGGCAGAAGTGGGGGCTTCCCCTACCTCAGCCACATTTTGGGGTCAGGTCTCTAAGTCATCGGCCCTAAGCTGACCAAGCCTTGTGGGCAAGGCCCAGAGAAACCCAGGGCTGGTGGACTGGTGCAAACAGGTTGCCATAGCTGAGTAAGCCCCTATGCAGTCACCCAGGCAGGGTTTCTGCCGACTCCGCAGTCTGCGTGGCTGCTGTCTTTGTGCTGATGGGCAGACTGGGTCACAGATGTCTGCTGACACCAGAGTCCAGTGCAGAGGAGTCAAGGCTGGGGTTAACACTAAGCCCCGTGAATCTGACTTAGGGCCACACCATGGGTCAATTTGTGCATCGGGAAAAGTGTGAGTTGCACGGACTTTTGGAATACCCGCAGCAGAGGGGCAAGGAGGGAAGGTGGGAGGAAGCAGGAGAGGCAGCCACTGCTGGGAATATAGCACGTGGTACCTCACCCACAGTGGGGACCTGGGCCCTCTCCATCTTGGCCCTTACCAGCAAGATGCCGGATAATCCCATATTTGGGGATTTACTGATAAACGTTAGCTTCTTGAGCTGATAACTGACTGACTGACCTTGGGCAGAGTTTTAAAAACAATCTGGGCCTTAATGTGGACGTACAGGCAGATCCAGTGGTCAAAGGGACTGTGAAGAGTTGGCTCTCAGGGAAGGAGGCCAGCCCCGCCCTCCATCGCAGGGTTCACCTTATTCACTTGTGCGGAACAGCAGAAACTAAACAGACAGGTAGGCAGGCAGGCAGGCTCCACAGAAGGGGCCCCCTGCTGGCCAGAGGATCCTCAGTTCAGGACCCTCCTTAGAGTCTGTTCAGGAAGTCACTGTACCCATTCAGAATGACACCAGGCCTTGCTGTCTGTGGTGTCATTTTGGCGCCATGCCCCACCCGGTCAACATCGCTGACCCTCCTCTATCAAAGTGAATTTGATCCTCCTCCAGCTTCTTGGGAGAGTGAAAAGTGCAGATAAGGGACTGAAAGGCCGCTGGGGATTTTGGAGAAAGGTGAAGTCAGGTGAAGAGTGTCAGCTCACAGCTGCTGCTTCCGGGAGAAGATCAGAAAGGCCGGTTGTGGAACACTGAGACAGCGGGAGCTGCCCGATTTGTAATCCCCGGGGCTCAAGAGCCTGGGCTGCAGCCCTGGACAAGGGGCTCAGCTTGTACTAAGCACTGACAGTATGCCAGGCACTTCACGCACATTATCTCATTTGATCCCCACGACAGTAGTGGACAGACACCGCTATCTCCTTCTCACAGATGCCCCAGCTGGGACTCAGGAGTTCTGCTGTTCAGCGTTAGTTAAGGCTACTTGGTGGCCAGGAGTGGCTTTTCGGGCACTAAATACCACATTCTTCTCTTACACTGCTCCTCTTACTAAACTCCTGGCGTACGTCAGAGACTGGTGAGTCCATTTCACAGGCCAGTAAACTGGAGCTGAGTGAGAGGCCGGGGAAGGACACCGGATGGCGTGGGTCATCCCAGGGAGGCAGGGAGGGGTGTGTCCCACAACTTCCCAGTTA